ACTGGATGCACTCAATAGAAATTGATCGACTGCCCACACACACGTGCGCTTTTACTTCTGGGACTTACTTCTGAGTAGACCTCCATGGGATCCCCCTCCCCAAGAGAAGTAGGTTAGACTGAGAGGACATGACTGGCCTGAGGTCACCCAGTGAGCTTCCATGACAAAGTAGGGATTGGAGCCTGGGTCTCCTCCGACACTCTAACCACTGCACCAGCAGGCTCTCCGTTTCATTGCTCTTGGCAACTGTGCTCTGCAAAGAGGGCCTCACAAAACTACTACTGCCAGGGTTCCTTGGAAATGCCAAGATTTGCCTTTAAACTTTTATTTTGTCCACGGGGCCCTACCCCCGGGAGCCGATCAGTTGTCCGGCAGAGGGGGGGGTTACCAGGAGAAAGGAGGAGGTCTAGCCCTTGTGGCCAGCATCACACAGGAAGTGATGTCATCCTGGCAGTGATGTCCAGGTGAGGCTCTGGTATTTGGACAAAAACTCTACGGTAGAAGCCGGTTTTACCATAGAGCTTTAGCCCAAATACCAGAGCGTCACTCAGATGTTGCTGGCGTAATGGCATCACTTCCTGTACAATACCGGCAACGAGGCCTAGGATTTTCTCTTTCTCCTCATAAGTACGCCCATCCCCACAAGTTGCCAGGAGGGCAACCCTATTTAAAGCATCCTGGGAGAAACAACACTGCAACTGGAACTCTCAAGAAGGCATTTGTGGCTCCTCAGAATTACCTCTAAATTTCTTGCTAGGCAGAGGGACTAGTTGTTGTTCAGTCGCACAGTTGAGTCCGACTCTTCGTGACCCCATGGACCAGCTCCCGCCAGGCCCTCCTGTCTTCCGCCGTCCTCTGAAGTTGGCTCAATTTCATGTTCATTCCATCGATGACACTGTCTAACCATCTCATCCTTTGCCGTCCCCGTCTTCTTTGACCTTCAATCTTTCCCAGCATCAGGGTCTTCTCCAGGGAGTGCTCCCTTCTCATTTGGTGGCCAAAGTCTTCGAGCTTCAGTTTCATTATCTGGCCTTCCAGGGAACAGTCAGGACTCGACAGGAGAACAAATCTTTGTTTTAGCCCTGGGCTGCCAGGAACATTATAAGTGCCTGAGTGTGTGCAGAGTGCATTTCTCTCACCACTCAGCCTGTAGTTTTAGGCCCAATTTAAACATGTGATTAGGGTCTCCCATGGGTCTTTATAGCTGTCATTGTGGAAGAAATTTGGATTAGGGCCATGATAGTTTAACCCCTTCCTTGGCCTCTGTGCGCCTCTCCTCTTCCTTCACACACCCATGGGGGGAAACAGACATACACTTTTAGTGGCTGTATTGGTAAGGGATTGAGATGGGGGAAATGGGAATCTAAGGAAGGAGATTTTTTTTAAAAAAACATTTTCCTCAGGGCACCGTCCCTGATCCAGATCACCTCCTGGCAGCTTTTAGCCTTTAAAAATCCCACAGGGGGTCATCAACACCAGTTTCCCAGGCCAGGGGTCCCCAACCTTTCTGCACCTTCAGGCACCTTTGGAATTCTGACACAGGGCGGTGGGGGCTCAGCCACAAAATGGCTGCCGCAGCTTACCTTCAGTCACACCGTGAAGATCCTTGTGTTGTGGCGGCAGCTGCTGCCAAAGCAGCATTTTTAAACATCTGCCCAGCCAATCAAATATCCAGTGGCCAATCAGAAGCCTTGCCGGGCAAAAGCCCCACCTGGCCCTGCCCACTTCCTGAAAACCCTTGGCAGGTGCCAGGAAAAATGTCAGCTGGTACCAGGATCCACAGGAACCATGCTGGGGACACCTGTCCCGGGTCGTATTCAGTTGGGCCCTTTAAAAAGCCTGACACTTCTTTCTGTGGTTACCAGACTTCTGGAGCCCTTTCACCGCCACTCTCTTTTTTTAAAAAGAAAAAGAAAAAACTTGAATACAAGCACCTCTTTCCTCTCTCAAACAGGTATCTGTAAAACTCTCCCCAAAGCACCGCATTTCAAAGGAATAGACTTTCTTCCTGTCAGGTTTCTTCCTTGTCCAACTTTCACATCCATACATAGTCACAGGCAATACTATGGTAAGAAGTATCTCGATCTTGGTCTCCAGTGACACATCTGTACATTTTCCATTAAGAATCTTTTCTAGCTCCTTCCAGGTTGCCAGGTATCAATCCTTGTCTGATTTCTTAGCTGCAGTCTTGGTTGAAGATGTCCAACTGTCCATTCTCGAAATCCCAGAAGTGCCCACAGGCTCACAAGGACTGGGGACCCCATTCTAGGGAACACGGCAGCGAGCAGTGTCAGCGTTTATTGACTTATGCGCATGGTGGAATTCTGATGGGCCAAAGCCACAGCTGAGTTTAGTGGAAATCCTTGTTTTCTGCAGAGCGACAATACAAATTGTTCACGCTGGCATCCTTTGTGTTGGAATATATATATATATAGGAGCTGCGGTGGCTCAAGTGGTTAAGACGCTGAACTGCAGGCTGTGGAAGGTCGGTAGTTCAGCGGTTCGAGGCCCAAGTTGCCGCATGACGGAGTGAGCTCCCATCTCTAGTTCCAGCTCCTGCCAACCTAGCAGTTCGAAAGCAAGAAATTGCAAGTAGATAAATAGGTACCGCTTCGGTGGGAAGGGAACAGCATTCCGTGCACCTTGGTGTTTAGTCATGCCGGCCACATGACCACGGAAATGTCTTTGGACAGCGCTGGCTCTTTGGCTTTGAAACGGAGATGAGCACCGCAACCCTTGGAAGTCATGGTGACCTCTGGTGACTGACCCCTACTGGGGACCTGGAAGATATTCAGAGAGGTGGCTGAATAAAGCCTGCCCCCGCCTCCCGACTACTGGTAATCCAAGGAGGTCTCCCATCCAAGTACTTGCTGGAGTCGACCCTGCTTAGCTTCTGAGATCTGACGAGGTCAGGGCTTTGGACATTTTTTTTAAGTTAATTTTTTGGGTCATCAAGTCACAGCTAATTTATGGTGACCCCACTGGGTTTTCAAGGCAACAAACATTCAGAAGTGCTTTGCCTTTGCCTGCCTCCACTCATGACTCTGGTATTCCTTAGTAGTCTCCCATCCAAACACTAGCCTGGGTCGACCCTGCTTACCTTCCAAGACCTAACAAGATAGGGCTAGCCTGGGCTATCCAGTTCAGGGCATGTTGAACAATACAGGTTCCTTAATCCTTTTCCAAAGGCTTTAAGTGTTTAAGGCACAAACCAAAACTGATGAAAATTGTTTTTATCTTGTTGACCTTCTAGATCATAAAGATTTTTTTCCTTTAAAAAACATCCATTGTATATTCAAGAAACTGGTCATATGAGAGGTAGGTGGGAAGGCTAGTTCACAACACCATTGGCTTGCTAATAGGAGGAAATGGGAGGTGGGTTTGGCCATAACTTTGTCAAAGGTCCGTCAAAACCCATCCCAGAATATGTACTCAATAACACTTTCCAGAAGATCTGGAAAATGTTTCCCTTTGGGCAGGCATCCAGTGGCCAGGATTAGGCGGGTTGGAAAGCCAAGCTCACTGAAATGGGTGTGTTTGTTCAAACTGCTTGCTAAGAGTGAGGGAGGAGGAGGAGGTTTTATACCCCAATTTTCTCTATCTATTGAGTCTCAAAGCTGTTTACAATCACCTTCCCTTCCTCTCCCCACAAGAGGCACCTTGGGAGGCAGGTAGTACAGAAAGAGTTCGGATAGAACTGGGACTGGCCCAAGGTCACCCAGCAAACCCAGTTCTCCAGATTAGAGTCTGCCACTCTTAACCACTACACCATGCTGAATAAAAGCTCGGGAGGCTGCTCTAATGCAGCCCACAGGCCGGAAGTGGCCTGTCCAGGGCTCTTATCCGGCCCATGAGCATCTGGTCATTTATCTTTATTGCCAGATGACAGAGAGTGTGCATTATGTCCCTGCATACTGTCCCAGTGATAAATGAGTCATGGGCGGTGGATGTGGGAAGCTGGGCATCAGGAGGATACTTTAAGGAAATACTGTAAGACTGTTAATGCTTTAAGCACACTTGTATTTTGAATTAAAAACCGTATCGTTAATTGGGTTTGCCCGTGTCCTTTATAAAGTTTACACCTCCGGCACCTGGCATTACGTTTGATGGCACACATGGCCCGGCCCGACAAAGTGACATTTATGTCAGATGTGGCCCTTGTAACAGATGAGTTCGACCCCTCTTTTAATACTTCCATGTGGCACACGACCTCAGAGCCCAAGCCAGAATCAGTCTGGATTACTGGAGCATTTCACAGACCAAGGAACTGAACAGAAAAACACTTCAGTCTTAACCTCAGGGTACAATTCCTTCTACAAACGAATGTCCCCCCCCTTTTCCCAAACGTACCCTTGAAGAATGCTTTATGAAGAAGGAAACCGGCACACGGGGAGAGATGGAAACATCAACTCTTTCCTCCCTTGCACTTTTCTCACTGGGAAAAGCCACTTCCGGGATACTTTTAAATCTGCTGTAGGGGGGAAATGGGTACCTATGTGGGTTGCCCTGACCCGGATAGCCCAGGCTAGCCTGATCTCGTCATATCTCAGAAGCTAAGCAGGGTTGGCCCTGGTTAGTATTTGGATGGGAGACCACCAAGGACCACTTACCCAACCGCACTGTTATGTATTAGGACTGGAAAATTCCAGGACTATCTACCAGAGACTGGCTGAGCTTGGAGCTCTTGAACAATAGCCCACCAGGACTCTGGAAGTGACCAATGAGAAACTAATGTTATGTAAATAGCCTATGCTTGGGAGTGGGGTGGGTTTGGGTGTGGTTTTTGCATGCCGTTTAAACAGGGCTGTTGCCCTGGTTTTCAAGTCCCGTTCCTGAAATCACTTCATAAAGTAGAGCTGTTCACTGCAATTCGTCTTGAACCCAGTATTTAATACCTACATACCTTTCTTCATCCTGATACTCCAATACAGAGAAGCAGAAACTGATAACCTCTTGGGGGAACGTCACGGTTCTGCAGAACAGGATTGTGAACACAGGGGATGTCTTTGGCAGGGGAGAACATCGGCCAGGAGGTGGTGCTGCTGTATCACCTAAACTGCCACAGCTGCTTATTGGTTCCTTCCTATCAGAACTTGGCATCCGGATTGCAACACGAGGCTGTGAACCAAACGTTAGGGGAGATGTGCAAAGAGCAGTGCATGCCACCCAGGGCCGGCCCCAGCTTATTTTGCACCCTAGGCGAGGATCCCTTCTGGCACCCCCCCCCCCGCCCCGTGTGCCGGGTTCAGCAAAAGAGCTTCCCCAGCTGAGGGAATGCAGGGCTTTTGGCGGTTGGGGGGTTTGGGGCAGGGGGCGGCGGGTGCAGTTTGGCGCCCCTAAGGCCCGGCCCGCTCTAGGCGAACGCCTAGTTCACCTAGTGGAGCCGGGCCTGATGCCACCAAAAGCAAGTCGAATGCTTCAGGGGAAATGGAGGCAGCATGATCATAGGAGCAAACAGCCTAAACTTTCCATCACAAGTCTTGTCCTCTGTGGCTCATTGACTGGTGGAAGTCGGTGCTGCGGCTGAGACCCTGATCCTCAAGCCAAGAAGCGGTTTTCACTCCTCATCAGTCCCCTCCCCCAATGCGATCTGGAGTGGCCTTAGGGCAGATTACTGGAGTCATATCTGTGAAGACTGGGGGGGGGCATCAAGTCACAGCTGACTTATAGCAGCCGCCTCCTGGGGTTTTCAAGGCAGGAGCTGTTCAAAGGTGGTTCTCCCATTGCCTGCCTCTGCCTAGCGATCCTGGTCTTCTTTGCCGTCTCCCTTCCGAATACTGACCAGGGCAGACACTGCTTAGCTTCCAAGAGCTCTCAGGCTCCCGTCGCTAACCAAGTCAGGGCACTTTGGGGACCCTCAAAAGGCATCTATCTGCCTCCAAGCCCTGTCCTGTGAACTGGAAGCCCTTCTCCCTAATTCCCGGTGAACAAAAAGTTCCTTTCCTATGCTCAGAGGCACTCCTGTCCTGTTTTAATATCTGCTTGGGCAATGAAACCAGATACTGAGTTGGGGGGACGGGAAATCTCTAGCTGCTGCAGACACGCAAAACCCAGCGCTCTTCTGGCAGTGCCTTGATTTCCCACAAGCCGCTGCGCCGCCCTCGCTCTTCCCTTTGCCCCAATCCTACATTGTCAATTTCACACTATGTGCTGGGCAGTAGCACGCATTTTGCCCCGCAGCTTCGCCCCTCCTCTACTCAGTCCTGTTTTTTGAGGATTGAGTAGATGTGGGGGGGGGGCGCCAAAATGCGGCTCAGCAGCAGCTTGTGTGAAATTGACTCCTACCATGGGGCAAAAGGCAGAGCAGCGCTTGTGGGAAACCACCCGCAGGGAAAATCGGGCAAAGCTGCGGAGCAAACTGCAGCGCAACACATAGTGTGAAATTGACACAGAGGATAGGGGCAAAGGTAAGAGCAAGCGCGGAGCAGCGGCTTGTGGGAAATCGTCGGTCACCTTTTCAAATCCGGGAAGCCAGTGGCAGTGAATTCCGCCGGCTAACGGGACGGGCGCCGGAGCGCTAAAACGGCTGCCCTTCGAGTGACTCTCCCCCTCCCTCCCCGGCCCGGGCGAGGCCGCCAAGAAGGCGGGCGGAGTGGGTGTGAGAGCGGGCGCGGGGGTGGAGTTTCCCGGCCAGGCTCTCTCGCCCGTCGTCCGCTCCGCCGCCCGCCCGACGACTCTCCCACCTCCCCTGCCCGGCGGCTCGACGGCTCCGTCCCTTCTCCGGCGCCCTCGCCGAACCTCCCCACCGCCATGGCCGGGCTCCGGCT